TTCACAAAAGAACTCACTTATGTAAGAAAAAGCAAGATAACGTAGGCTCATTTTAGCAGCTTTTTCTCGCCTACATATTAAATTATTCGGTAGAAGAATACGTAACTGTACAAATGTCTATATCAAAATAACATCAGACACCATTCAGTTCTCCCCCATTGTTTATCGGCTTTTGTTTTCTTACTTCACTAATTAGTGAAATTAAAAAAAATCCTTTAAAACTCAACCTCTGTTAGTAGGATGGGTTTCCGACTATTCCATGCCCCAGAGAATCTAAAGTCAGAATTTGCTGATTGGTTCATTTTTTGACCACTCAACACTAAGAGATGAGTCGCGAAGATATTATAAGATTCCTTTGTAAATTCTAAGTTCTAATGTTTGTTCTAATTTATCTTTGTATTTCGGGTTATTGGAATTCATATTGTTCGTTCTCAATTTTTTTCCCACTTTGGAAGAGTCGAGTGGAGTATCACTTTCAGAGAACAACAGACAGTTGAACATATCACTTTGTTTATGAAACTAACTGTAAATTTAACCTGCGTATTTGACGTATAGGCTTTGGTAATATAAATAAATATGAAAGACTAAAAAGAAAATCATTACATTTGAAGTTTATCTAGCTGAATAAAGTCCCGTTTGTCCAAACCGCCACAAGTGTTGTAGATTTAAGCCTTCTTACCTCCATCTTTTTCACTTTGTATATCCGATCACTATCAGTAGCTTCCAAATAATTAAAATCTAGCTATGTTACCCGAGTACAGAAACCTGTGAATGGAGCAGTGACTATTGAATACAGTTTATTTAGTTTAGTCGATGTATTAGTAGAAAATAGATTCTATACTTGCTAAAAAAATAATTCATAACCTGACGCGTCCTCATATTCCAAAAACAGTATACAGTACGTATGTTTATAGTGACAAGTAATAATGCCCAAAATGACAATAAAACATGTCGGTCATCTTTTTGGATAAAGGTTAAAACTAGCCAATGGAATTATCTGACGATCACGTTTCTATTAAACATATAACTCCTGTAGCTAATTTTTTTTATACAATGATAATAGTAAAAGGCCATGTACAAAATATAACTGTAAGATGTCACTTCAAGCATCCAAACATGGGGAGATAAGATCATAAATGTAAATTGAATAGGTGAATCATGAAAGTTGGTACACCTGGAACCCGCAATATGAGTCTTTAAATAAGCTTGTATTTTATTGAAATAGAAAATAAATAAGGTAAACAATAAACAAGCATGCTCACAAATAAATCATACCTATAAACACGCACAATCATAAAAGGTCATAAAAATGACTCATTAGTTACTTGAATTCTGATTTCATCATCTGACCAAATGTAAGAACAAATTCACGTAGGTGTATTGAAAACCATAACGATTTACGTGATCTTATTTCTGATGCGTTTGGTTTGGCCACTGGTTGTGAACAAACATAAGAGTTCAGCTAAAGAATATGTTTAGTTTGTAAAATATGGACATGGATCATAATACATAATTTCTATTTGTTCTTTCCTTCTTTCTTAGTAACAAGTTAATCTTTCCGGAATTATTGGTTAAAATATCTACTTATTCTTAATATTATTATTTGTAATAGTAGTTATCATTACTACTAATTTTCACTCATTATTCATATCTTCATTGTGATATTTTTTGTTCTGGTTTTACGTTATGGGCATACTACAACAACAACAACAAATTCACCATATTCCCCAAGCTTTATTACTGAGCTTTTTCTGTGTTTCCTGTAGTAATAATTAATGCATAATAACAAGAATACGCCTTAAAGTCTGTTTTTGTTTTTGATTATATGGAAGATTTTTTACTGTTCTTTTCTTACTGTAAATGAAAAAAAAAGATAATTCATAATTATCCATTAACTTTTCCCCTTTTATATCAATGAATTTATGTACTTATGCAATATATTTTATTGTTAAGACATAAAATGTATCTAAGCTAGTATCTCCAAACTTGCTAGAAAGTTACTTGGTTCGTTACATGTATCTTCTGTGGTAAATATGTAGTATTTTTAATACTGAAAAATATTTTAAAACTTACTCATGCCACGTTTATGACGCCTCAGTACTGACTGTCAATTTATGTACTATTGATAACTCTGGGTTTAATGAATTTGGCTTTTTTTCTAAAGTGTATACAATCACTAATGTTTTACTGTACGATCATATCGCTAAGATTACCATAATTTTTGCTATTTCACATTTCTGATCAATTTTCTTTACGAAAACACACATTTTATAGCAACTTAGAAATTGCAATTTCTAGGTGTAGGCTTTATTATTATTATTATTATTATTATTATTATTATTATTATTAACATTTAAGTTCGCATCATTTGTACTGTAGTGAACGAGAACTCAGGTACGGTAAACTAATCTTTTGTTACATGCGAAATTACGCAATGCCTTTATAAAATATGAAGATTATACTTTAAATACATTATTTGCACGTCTTCCTTCACATATTCTCTACATACTTCTTGATTCTTTTTAATTATGTTGTGATTACAATTCCACTCAGTGTTACTTTCTCTTTTTAATTGGATGTTCTTTGAACGAGCATTCCACTTCCGATTTTTGCTACATACGGCTTAAATCTGTCAGCATAAGTAGTACATGCAACTGTACGATTACAAAACAGATTTTCTAGATTTAATCCAAACATTTGATATATTAAAAAATAAAGATTCATTGTCATATTTTGCTATTTATCGTAATAGTAGTAGCATTAATTCGTGATCCAGAAATTAATTGATGTGAATCATTCAACATCAAAATATCTCATCGAAATGATCTTCAAGAAATACTAATAAATCAACTCTAATAAGCTTTTAATTTTTTAATTAAGCTACTATTTAGTCTAACTTAGTAAATATTTCCTTGTTAAACTAATGTATGGTTGGTTTAAAATTGTACTCTAGAAAGAATTATTACACATGACTTCTATCGTAGTGAGATTACATAACAATAGGATTACTATTCTGTTCTGAAATTCAATACTTAACTATGATATATAACTTTTAACTAATTTTTGTTGAATGACATGTAATTATTTCGACTATATATTTATAATAATAATAAGACTAATTGTTTAATTTGTAAACATTTATTTCATACTGGCTAACAATGTTATCTGTTTCCAAATCTTATGCAATATAGATTTATAGCAAAATGGAACGAATTAGCCGCCCTTTTTTGTCATGAAATAAGCTTCCTAAATAGATGTTTTTCATTTTGTTGCACATAGTGTGTTAAAATTATCGGGACAATTCACATGAGGTCGACTGAAGTCAGCAAACTGTTTTGATTTATCAGAATATTGATAAATCAATATGCATTAATAATAAATGGTTGTGCTAAAACTCTCAAGGTGATAAACTCAGAAAGAATAATCAATTGACAGCATCGATAAATACAATAATGACTAGTTCAGTATGATTGAATACGGAAAAATATATCAACCAACAACAGAACAGTTATTTTACGACTAACTAATGAAATACTAGAAGATAAGCGATAAAAAGCTACTTAGTCATCAGTAATACGATTTTAATGCATAAATCCTCCACAGTGTGCTTTGTGAGTTATTACAGTTTTGATCTTTACGGTCCTGGAATAGAGCCATGTATAAGTATAACATGATTACCTTAGTTATGTTACACATAACTTATAGTATTTAGTTGGCTAAGACGTATAGATGAAGCGAATGAAAATGTTTCGGCCTATTTAACCTGATCATTGAATTATATCCTTCTGTGAACTAGAAAATCATGTTGCAATTTTATTTTACTGAATTCAGGAAACAATTTAATTCAAAACAATATTTCATAAACATACACACCAGTTGGTGTTTTCTAAGGATACATTTTTGTATTCAACCTATTTATTTTGTTTTGTGACGTTCTAAATTTTAACAATGACATTTTATAAATAAGAACCATTCTTTGACATTATGTTATTACTGAAAGATCTTATAAATACTTGTAAGTTGTTTCCTTTTTTTAAGACTGTAAATCTGTAAAATGTATACACAAAATCAAAGGTCATGCCTTTCTATCTCATAAAGTGGCTAGAGACGTTATCAGATATGACTCAGAATAGGAGCCAGTGGCAATCCTACTATAACCTTCTTTTACTTTCTTCATAAAAAGTGGTTGCTTCTTCCTTAACTGAAAGACCTCTTCTGATTGTACGTTTCTGTTCCCCCTATTAGTATTATTACACTGCGTTACACTAATCTGTTCGTTTTTTTTCTTTTACGCTCCTTACCTTTTTCTCCCTTCTTCTCTTCAAATTCTCATTGTTTTGCGTGGCACATATATATTTAGTGCCCTCTTGTACCAATATTTATGTGTTCAAATAAATAAATATAAATCTATCTCATAAATCAACTGAAATATAAATGAAAAATAGTTTCATATTTTTAATAAATTCCATTTCAGAACAATCATATTAATTATTGTTAATATTCTATAGTAGATACTTTTGTTTCCTTAGGCCAAAACATTAATTGACACCAATTTCATTGAAGAATTTGAACTTAGAAACTTTCATTTCCTTTTTATTCAGTTATTTGTAAGTAATCTGATTTAGTGAAAACTAATATGCTTCTTTATAATTTATGCATATTTATCCGTAACTTTTAATAGAAACATTTTTTTCGTTAGTTTCTCTCCTTACAGAATTGTAATTATTCAGTATAATTTTTTTTATAGATTCAATATAAAAATGTTACTGGCTATTCTATTGACATTCATACCATTTCTATGTTTTAACCAGTCTCTGGGCTTATTGTTTTCTGTACTACTACTATGTTGTATGAATAAATATTTGGGAAGATATAAATTTCTCTTTGTTATCTACACTCTAAATCACATATCTTGATATAAGTTTTAATTTAATGAATCAACCTCTAAGCTACCAATAATTACCACTATGCAATTGATATAAATTTTTAACCTATCGTAGTTGAAATCTTTTCGTAAGACCGAATTGGTAATTTTGGTGGAGTTTTGTTCTCAGAGCTACAAATCTTCTCTACCACCGAATTGGTAAAGAAATACCGACGACCTTTGGTAAACTAATCAGAATTAAAATAATACATTTTGCATGTTTGCATGAAATTGAAAACAAAGTGAAAGATAGCTTGTATTTCATTGTAAAGTAAGTGAAATTTGGCAATATATGGTTCCCTAAACACGTATAATTACTTTTTTAAAAATATCTGTTGTGTTGCCAAACAGTGAATGTGACGTAATGTTTAGGCTAAATTACAAGAAATACTTGGTACTAGTGCAGATTTTATGTAATATTACTTGATATGATTCAATGAATAGTTAAAGATGTTAGAATTCTCCAACTTTAATTCTCAACCCTAATTTTCATAAGCTAATCAATAAAGAACTGACAAAACATCACTGCAATGTAGCTAATATCATTTCATAACAAAAACTAATCCTAACTTAGTACACTTATCCATTTCCTAATAAGTAACCTCAGCCTTCTACCTCTACTATCATGAATAATTTAACATGTATAGTTTGGTAAATCCTACAAACTATTTATCGCTTTTCATTGTTAGTTATTGTATAACTAAACACTATCCACTGATTGGCTCAAGGTCCTCAGTATCGCTTACTTTTATCACAGAATTTCACCTTCTTGTGCATCAATATTATGATCGTGTTTTAGTTATAAAAAAGACAACAAGCTGTTCTATTCAAAACTGCTTTATCGTACTATTATTAACATTATACATCGTCTATATGTATATTCTTTATATCAATCTGCAGGCGAATGCCACAATTCAATAATGGTCTTTCTCAAAGTGCAAGTACTGGCAACCTTCCAGGTACTATATCTTCCGGTGGTATTGGTGGAAATACATTTATGACTACTAACCCATCGAATGGTTCAACACCAAATACCACTTATTCTACTACTAATGCACCGTGGGTTTCATTTGATCCTCTTTTTAATCAATCCCAATCAAGTGCAATAGCACCACCGATTCCACCACCGAAATTAACATCGTTATCTGGTAATCTTGGACACCCAAGTATACCGGAGTGAGTTTCAGTCAGTTGTGTTGATATTCAACTTCCAGTTAATATTTTGATTACTATTTGTTATTAACAATGATTATGTATAATTTTTGTTTATTTTAGCTTAATAATTAATATAAAGCAGTTTTTTAATTCGAAGATCAAACCTAGTTCAGTTGCAATAACGTAAATACAGTAATATTTGATGTTACATGTGACTCCATGTTAACAACATTTTTATAAGTTGACGTCACTTAAAAGGCTATAAAACGTAACATACTTTGGACATTTGTTATAACATTGTACGTGGTCAGTAAATTAAATAATTTTAGAGACCAAACCAGTAGTCTTTAAGTCATTTTCTAGACCAGTAACACGTTCACATTTAGTATTAATACCAAGGTTGAGTTTGATATTTGAAGTAAACTTATTTTGGGATAGGCTGTTTATTATAAAAATAACAATAAAAGGAACAATAAATCTCCATTTACTAAATTTTTATTGACATTACACCAACCGTTCATGAAATTCTGCTTAGAGTTAACTGAACCTACGAAATAAGTAAATTTTTTCCCATTACGATCTACGCTTCTTGCATTGATCTCAATCCTTCAGTTTGAGTTTACAATGCCTGCAGTAATATATATATATATATATATATATATATATATATATATATATATATATATATATATTCATCATATCTAGATATGTATACGCACAGAGTTGTTTAAGTAATCAGATTATGAATTTGAAAATTATTCGTTAAGTACCTGCTACATAAATGATCTTTTATTTGAAATTTAACCTAATATTTTCATTGTTATCATTTGATAGTGTTCCATATAAAGTGTATTAGAAGTTTGTCGAATAACCCTATGTTTGACCCTGTATATGAACAGAACTTTGTTGATATGATTATTCAAGCTATAGATTTCGAATCGCTTAACTTAATCGTTCACATCTTCAATGTTAGTCATTGCTTATAATTGATCTATACAGTTCTCTCTTTATCTATCTACAAACACATTATCCACCTAAGAAATTATTTTCATATACAACTATGTTCGTCTTTTCTTAATTTCATCCTGATAAGCTTTTATACATCAAATTATTAAAAGCATACATATAATAGGTTCATTTGGTTTCGAACGATTTATACTGCCACTAATCTATTTATTCCTTGGATTAAAATCTGATACATTATATATATTGTGTGGCGCATATATATTTGGTGCCCTCTTGTACCAATGTTTATGTGTTCAAATAAATAAATGAATAAATAAGTTGGCTATAGATGTATTGTGCATAATGTGTTTTACTTTTATTCAAACATTTTCTGCATTTTTTGCGCTTACATTTTTATTAAATCTAGACGTCCAGGTAACGTTGGTATGCCGCGCATTCCTCCTCGACCAACTTCATGAATCAGTGTGTTGTTTATTTATTTATTCTAATTTACGCATATACTTTACGGATTTATACATACAAATTCCAGGTTAATGTCCTTTGAAGTATTTTTCTCCTCATTTTCATAAACCAATTTTTAAAAATAATATTGTGTATGCTCAACTGTTTTCTACCCAGACATTTGTATGGTGGTATGTATCCTGTTTTCACTGTTTAACAAGTAAACGAAAATTTTATTCATTTCCTCGTTTACTTGTTTTTATCACTGTTGATTCCTATTGTTCTCACAATGCACTTTTATCATAGAGCCAAAAATATCCAACACAAATGTATTCGTTGGTCGATTTCTCTTTCTACGAGTATTTCGCTCGTTCTCATTCGCTCTCTTAACACTCAGAATATTATCCATACACTCACATATGTATCTGAAATCTCTTCAGTTACCTGTGTATCGTTTTTATTTTTTTCAAAGATCTCACGGGTTCTGTCATTTTTTCCCAGTACATAATTTCATTTTTGTGTATAAATGTGTGATGTTCGCTTGAATAATCTCTATTTTAATAATGATTTTTGATTTTTATTTCATGTGTTAATGATTTTGATCAGTTCTATATACTACTACTTACTTACGCCTGTTACCCCTCGTGGAGGAGCATAGGTCACCCACCAGCATTCTCCATACTACTAATATATATTCCGTATATTCGTCCGACATTATATGTAGCCGTATGATTGGTTAGTTGTCTGGTTGGTCAACTGATTTGATTTTCTCTGTCATTTTCGATTAAGCAAATATTCTTCCAGATTTCTATTCACTCTTCAACACTTAATTCCTGTTTTTCTGGTCAGGATTAGTGTATTAGATGCAGTGAGATTTCTCCCTATCTACTGTTCATTTCGACCGACCTTACCTTTAAAAAAATAATAAAACACTTGATATTGTTGTCGTTTTAACTCACTTCTTTGATAATGTTTGTTTAATCAAAATTAGACAAGATGATAAAGTTAGTCTTTTGCAAGTCAGATTCTATATCAACTTGATTGACTTTCTCTGTACTAATTCACTTCAATTTATTCAGTTTGTTCTAACTATAGATGCTTCTAGTTTATTTCAAGAACTTTTTCTTTTTTTTAAATGGTCATCGAACTGTTGAAGTGAAATTTTCTTTGAAAAACCTAATTTTCTTATGAAATTGAAATCGCCTTTCATTTGTTCTTTTACTGAATCATTTAATGTCTTTTTATACTTTAGTATGTGAATACTTCGTCATCAAATTCTCTCTCCTTGGAAATTAATTATTGTCTAATTATTTTGTTTCTTTTTTCTAATGAATTATGTTTTATTCGTTCATTTGAACAGTTTGAATTTTTATTTAAGAATATAACTATCCTTACTGCTTTTTTATAAAAAGATTGAATCGATATTGTTTATATATGATGAATTGAAATGCAAAATCAGTTTCTTTATTTGTTTCATTTGTTTAAAGAAAATAAATTTTCAGAATGAATTTTTGTTTGTTAAATACAAACATATGTTGTAGCCAAAATAGTCTAAGGAACTTTCGAATCTACGATCCATGATCTGAAATCCATAGCTTTATACACTAAGTCAGTTGCTCAATTGCTTAGCAATACATAATGAGGATAGAATAAATAATCGTATTAAATATGCTCAAAAACATTGAAATTCCGAGATCTGCTCTAAATGTCTTGTAATAGCTACTAATCAACAAGCACTTATGGATAAAAGGTTGAACGTATATGAATTTATTAGAATGATAAATAAAAAGCATAATTATATACAAAGGCTTTCATACGAACACAGCGTTACAGATCAATTATATATGTATATATATATATATATACTCATGCTGCTAGATTGGCGTGTTATTGTTTCAATCCATTTACTGAGTTAAATCCTGACGTATTATTTCAATTTAAATGAACTTGTATCACATACAACGAATAATAATCGATCTATTAGGACCATTATCAAACTAACATAGAAAAACTGAACAGTTAAATCATTCAAAATGTTGCTTTAAAGTAAATCTACGTTTCTTTTACTTGGATGCTTATAAAAGTTAGTGTACTTACGGATTTTAGTACTTTTTTGTATTATCAACCTAGAGTTTATCCAAAACCTAAGTTAGATCAGTACAATCTGTTTGTGAAGCACCAATATGTTGTACAGGAATAAGGTAAATATGAGACAATTGAGAGAAAAGAAATAAAAGATACGCATATCGACTCAACAAATGAGTAATTCTTTAAAATAACACTGCTAGTTAAGTGAAAGCAGGTTGCAGTAAAGTTAGACCGAATCGATGTAGTATTCGTTTCAAGTACTATTTGGCTATTCATACGTTTAGTTTTGAGCATAACTAGAATCAATCACGACTACATAGTAAGCATTTTCACTTAGTTTCACTCATCACTTCTACTGCCCTATGGTTATGCAACTATAAAACAACCCATAAATTCTAGAATCAATCGTATGACAAGACTAAATTCTGCTTATATCAACTACTCATTGTGATATTTCAGCAAATATCTTGAAATACATCAGAAGCAGGGCACTTACGAATTCCGTTATAAATCTTGAAATCAGTTAGAACTCATACTTGAATTTCTCCAAATATTGTTTTTTTTTCTGTTCAATACGAGGTTCGGTACATAATTAGTAAATTTATTTATTAGTAGTACGTAAGACATCATACTTAGTTTTTAAATATAAGCTTTACAAAATAGTTTGAAGTTTCTGCTATTGTTAACCACGAAAGACATACTCGTGTCATTAACTCAACTAATATTTTGTATGTCAATTAATTGTTATTATCTAACTGATTTTTTAACACTACTAACCAAAAGTTCAAGCTCTCAACTGAGACTAACAAACTTATACTTGAAGGATATATGTATATATATATCCAAGTTGTTTTGTAATATACATTTATCATCGCTACATGCATCTAAGAAAATGATTGCAAGCACAAAATACCTCAATAATGGACTGTGATCCGCGATACTTTAATGCTCACTGTATCGCATTCAACACTTCCTATCATTTTTGCATTGACTCAAATGACGAATGCTGCATATCGAATTGTAATTCGCTCTAAAATTTTCATTTTGAACCCTAACCTTTACCACAGTTGTTTTTCATCTGGTGTATCTCACTTCCGTGCACTGCATATTTCCATAGCTGTCAGTTGTGTGTAACTCGAACTTCAAAATGTCCTCTATTAACCAACATAGATTGAGAATCTCCGGAAATGTGAATAGCTGATCATCTGTTCGAACGATCACAAGTTACTTTAAATGTGCTTTTCTTAAACATCTTAATCACCAGTTTTTGAATGACGGTGGCAACGTAGGTTGACTTAAAAAGTTTACCTTTAATTGCTGATAAAAAGTAGCAACTTAATCCAAATTTCAGAAATAACATTAAATTAAAATACTGCGATATTCACAGAAAGAGAACCAAACTATATAATGTGATCTCCACCGACAATGAATCCACTGTGCTACGGTATCCTCTAGCATTTGACAATCTGACTCAAAATCCACCGACTTTCAACATACTTATAAGAAAGACCAACCAATTATTTTGAATCATTCAAACTCAAAAACGCGTGATTGCATACATTTAATATGATATTACTACGAATCATCAGTAACAAATCTCGGTCTCTAAATAACTAAAATATTCTTAAGAAAATCTGAGTAACTGGTTTATAGTAAATTTATGGGCAGCAAAAGACATTACACCAGTTAGTGAATCAAATCACTAATTGCAGATATGATAATATAGTAATATTATGAACAGACAATCTAGTAGAAACAAAATATACAAACTTTTCCCATAAGAGGAAGTTCGAGTTTTGTCATTTCCATTTCAGCTCTTATCAAACCATGTTAAGCATAAAACCTTAATGATTTTATTATTGATAACTATTGACGTTTGACTCCTAAATCATAATTCAAGTAGTATCCAGAGTAACAAAAGAATAAAAAATGGAAAACTATACCACTGAAATATTTCAAATTATTTGTATATTTATGTAGAGAAACAGATAGTGTAATGAATGAATATTTGATATGGATTGCCTGGACTGTTCCTAGATGTTACATACTATTCAAACAATTAGATTCTTTTTAGAATACCTGCTTGTCTTTTTAAGCTCACCTTGAATAAACTAAATTTTCCGTGGAGAAACTTAATCTGCATAGAATTTTCAGAGTAATGCCATAGAACAAAACATGATTTTATTTATAGCACAATGATTTTAACAGTTTTACTTTAGTTATCAACTCAAGATTATCTGAATGATATGAGAAATAAATGAGGTAATTGCACACTTTTCTCATCCAGTGTAATGAAAAACTCCCAAGAAGACCCTGGTGTGATATCATCTGTAGTATTCACATTTTCTGGGTAGAGCTCATCAAGAAATGACATTGGCTAACAAGTTACTAAAGATTTCTGTAATAATTCAAAACTCTATACAAAATCAAATGTAAAAACTTCAAGTTTCACGACGAATACGACATATCTTGACCACGGAATTAAGAAAATTCAAACATCCACATTTTCAACTGTTATTGATTTTTGTTCTGAACTGCAGTCATCTAATAGTATCATTGATCAGTTAATGTCTTTACAGCTTTCTACCAGAACTTATCGAAATCTACCCTAAAGTTATTCATTTCTAATGAGTATAGAATCATACTTTAAATGTCCATTTTTCCATATGACTTTAGGCTCTGATAAGAAATAGGAAAAACTTTCAAAAATGTGGAAATCTTCATAAGATCACATTTTGATATAAAGTTTTGAGGAAAAATATCACTAATGAAGTAGAATAATTGTTAAATGTGAATATTGAAGACGTTTATATTTAACTGTTACAACTCAGCACCTTAAGTGATTAATAATGGCTAATAGATTTTACCCGAAAAATTAGTATACTAATTTCTTATCTAAATTAACGTAAACATTTAGAACAATCATTTGTTTCTTGCTTCTTTTTTGTAACCATGTGAAATTGTTGCCAATAGAATACTTAAACATTTAATTTTTAAATTAACAAAAATGAATTAAACATTAATTTATCATCTATAAGCGGTAAAAGGGATCTATCAAGAATAAAATAAAACATTTAAAATTTTTCCACTTAATCAATTTTAAACTCTCACTTCCGTTTAATGTAAAAAAAAGAAAACAGAACATTAAATAGTTGTCAAGACAACCTAATATTAGAAAAAAGTTTTTCAATATTTATAAAACAATTAATTATACTTTTTTGTATTAATAATTATTCATTGCTTAGAAGAGAAATTGTGAATAGTTTTTTAGTCAATAGAATTTTCTATTCATATAATGAAATGTGGTATATTAATAACTATAGCTTCAAGGTTATCACTTCTAATTCGGTTATGATTCAATGATTTTATTCACTGTCAATTAATATAACACAAAAATTACTAACAAATTATATTATTATCAGTATAGGAATTTGTGAATATTGTAGTATTTTCAGAAGTGAATTCATTAGTCGAACTGTGCTAGACCACCATTGAAAACGTGATCATGGTTTTGAGTCCCGTGTACGAGATCGTGGATGCTCACTGTTAAGGAGTCTCATACTAGGATGAAACAGCCGTTCAGCGCTTCTAGGTTTTTGATAGTGATCCAGATTAGATAGACTAGGGAAATCATATTTACTCAAATAGCGGAACTATTATTTGAACGTTTTCTGGTTATAATGTAGGAAAATTAGTTTTGTAACATAGGAAATAATAAAAATTCTTCTACAAAGTTCCCAAAGTATCTTTATCAGTTTTCAGTAATGAAGATTGAATTTACTATTTTAAATTTATTCGACATGGTGGATAACTCGAGATAATGAAAGTCAAAGTGTCAATGAAATGTTGTAACACTGTCAAGTGTCAGGTTATATAGTGATTAAGTCTTTCATTTTCGTTCAATATAACACCTCGTTTTGATAGCTGTTTATTAAATATTAAGTGAGTGTGGATTTTGTTAACCAATAATTAAGTAGTCAATAATTGTTAATATGGAAGATGTTTTTTGTTCTAGATGAATAAAAAACCTCTAAACTGTGTTTATTCTCTTCCTTGCATCGACCTGTATCAAGTGTCAGTTATACCACAGCTAATATTGCTCTCTATTTAAAGTTATAACAGGTTTTCCCAAGTTCAATATATAGTAGACGTCAAAATGTTTACAAAAAAGATTAACTATGACTAGAAGTAGGATTCAGGACAAACGTTTCATTTTTTGCGCATTTGTCGTAAAATGTTGATCAAACTTTAATAATGATGAGATAGTTCAAACGCTTATTAGTAATGTCATAAATAATATACTCATTGAACACGCTATTGAAGTTCTGAACTCAGTAGTTCAAAGGATTAACCATTTCCGTGTGAGGTGTAAGGCTTCGGGTTGGAGTCCTGATGTTAATGTCAACACTTGGATGCAGAA